CGGGGGTAACCCTTTAAAGCGACCGCTCCAGGAGCAGCAATTGACAAGGAAGCAATTATGAAATTTTGATGTTCAAAATGGGGGTGGGGGGGCGTGAGAGCAGAAGCCGAGCGACTCCCCGCAGTGCTGCCGCCGCCGAGGGCCTCTGAAGAGCTCTCGAGACGGGCGGGGGTCACCCCGGCTGCCCCCACCGTCATTAAAGGCCCCTCTCAAACACTCGAAGAGATTTTCGGAGCGAAAGCCTGGCCGCGCGACATTAAAAACACCCGGCGATTGAAATGGGCGCATTGAGATGCGCGGAGCCGGCAGCAGCGCGGACTCGCTCTTGAGGTCAAGTGACGGACGGATTGTATGCTTCTTCATAATAATATTAATTAAACAATTTGCATGCTAATAAGGTAACAATTATCAGGGCCTCTGTTGAAAGATTCAGGTTATTACAACACGCCAATCTGAAGGCCAGGGGTCAGAGAGTGAGAGGCGAGCGAAATTTCAACTCAAATTAACATTCTGTCAGCTCCAGAAAATGGGATAAATAAAGTCGAATTAATTCATTATAATAAAGAGAGATGGGCGAGGGAGCCCGGCCGGCGCCCGCCCCTCCCCTGCCCTCCCCTCGGGCCGAATTGATTACAGCTCTGTATTCAGAAACACGCGCCGCGCGCATTCCTCCTCGCGAACCCGACAGAAAACGAGGCGCTTATGGCTACGGGCAAAATCGAGTCGGATGGACAGAGTTTACATTTAGTATTTATAGAGAAAGAAATTAAATTATGGCGAAAAGTAGTGCTCTTGGCCCCTGACCTCGGAATTAATACTTGCAGCGTCTTCCTAGTGAGAATGGAAGGAGTTGTGGTCCCAAATTTTCGGCCTCCTCCCCGCCTCAGAGAGGTTTCGGGCCTATCCTCCGGCCTGTACACCTTTCCCTCCTGTCGAGCAAGGGGGTAATTAAGCCTCGGTCCGTGTGGCCCAGGGCCACGTCCAGTGACATTCAATTAGGACCTACGCCAGGCGGCCAGTCCGGCCACCCGTCAGGTTGGGGCGGAAACTAGTGTGCTGGGGGGTGGGTGGGGGGAGGGCAGTCCCCGGCCCAGTCCTCCTCCCCAGTCTTCCCCCTCTGAGGGGCGGGAGAGGTTGTATGCACCCCATCCCAGGCACCGACACTAGGGTGAGGGCGCCCTCAAGGACTCACACACACAGGGCTGGGACAGACACACAGACTCGCGCAATTCTCTCCTGCTCTTCTCTTCGCCCAGGGCTCGGGTTTTGGCAGCCTGGCAGAAACCACTTACACTAAAGGCCAATTTGTCTGGCCCGGGGTGAGAGGCTGGCGGGCCCCACGGCCAGTAACTCCCTTTTTCCAAGCCTCGCGGGGGCCCCGCGGAGGCCCTGGGGCCATAGCAAAATGCAACCTTCCAGTTGACAAACTTTTAAAACATATATAAATATATATTTATACATATATAATGATTTCTTTCCCTTCTGCCCACAGTCCTAATTTGCTGCTTATTTAAGAGTATGTCCTTTAATGATTTAGTTTTAAGTCTATCAATATTTTATACCAGAGAAGGGAGTGACACTTCTCTGAGAACATAATTTAATTATAATAAATGGGCTAGGCACCTCAGCCCTATTCTTCAGAGGCAGAGTCAATGCAAGATGTATTTTTTTATTCATGTGTGTAGGGGGCCTGACTGGCTGCCACCCCAGTTACTTTCCTCTTTCAACTTCACCCCCCCCCTGCCCTGTGCCCCATTTTTGCCAGGCAGGGTACAGGGGTGGGGAGTGGGACGGAGTGCCTCCCCAATCACCCACCACACTGTCTTCATAGACTGGGTGGTTGCCAATCAGTCAGAAAGGGCATTAATTATATCTTTTTATTGACAGGGCACTACATTCTGTAGGAGTTATTCTCTTTTGGAATCACCCTTCTCCCTTTCCTCCCTCCTGCTCCTTCTTCCTCCTCCGCCCGCTCCTTCCTCCTCTCCCCCGCCGCCTGGAGCCGGAGAGGAGATGAGAAGCCCTTGTAGTTTTAAATTCAATGTGACAGTTTCGGAAAGAGCGGATGATGAATCTCCTATTATTGGATCAGTCTATTTGCCGCTCAATGTCTCTCTGTAATTGGAGCAACATCACTTTAAAGGTTCAGAGAGTACAGCATTTCTGGTGAAAAATCCCCACAACACGCCGGTGAATGTTTTAAAGGGAAATCTATTAGTGATTTGCGGAGGGGCGGGGAGCCGGCAGCCGGGGGAGGCGCGGGCTCGGGCCAACCGGGATTGAAGTGGGGGTTCGCCATGGGCCCCTGCTCAGGGCGCTCCCCACACCCGCGCCAGCCCAGCGCCGGGCCGCGCCCCTCCCCCCAAGCTGCCCCCTCCCCGTCTTGTTGTGACAGTTCCTGATACTGTTTATTGAGGTGCATGTCAGGTATAATTAGCAATCGATATGGAAAACGTTTCCTTGCACCCAGCACGCCTCTGACGTCAGAGCCGATTAGCGCTTCTTATTGGTCCCAAATTCCCCGGGCCGCGGCTAATTATCGGGAGCTTGATGTTGATAAAGTAAAGCGCCGGAGTGCGGGCGAAGCATGTGTAGGACTCCGGGTCCCTG